GCGGGCCGGGGGACGAGGAAGAACGCGTGGCTGCAAATGGTCAAGTTGCGTTATTATGGCTATCGTTAGGGTTGCTCTTCTTAATAAAGGAAAATATTCGATATCGATAAAGTGGATTTTATCATTATGAAAAATACTCAATTAAAATCATAGAAATAACTTTTAATCAAAATCAATCAGTTATAACGAAAACATGTATTTATTGTATTATTATTTATTTTTAAAATGAATTAGTTATATTTATTTCGAATTAAAGTTTAAGGGTCCTGATTTTTCTTTGTAAAAAAATATAAACAAGCATCTACATATTTGTAAATTATGCATCTTGCTAATTCAATTAAAATTCTATTTCAAATTGATGAAAATGAATATCCGGGAATCAATAATACCCAATCAGAGATTTTAAAACCGATCTTATAAAATAATTGGTATTATATTTCGAAGACAGCACTTTTGAACCACTCTCATTGATCGCTCTCGCCCTCTTAATAAAAATTTTACAACGATGACAAATATCTATTACTGTAGTGGGTCCGTACAATAACTTGTCTTTAGTGTCCTTTTGAAATTGTAAGGCGTTCTGATTTGGTACACCAATCTAACTATGTAATTTAACTAGGTAACTATAAACTTTAACTAGGAAAAATACCGACGAACTGAGAACCTCCTCTTTTTTTCTGAAGACGCTTAAAAGTAGATAAGTATTTTTTCACAGTGTGTGAATTGAATAATCCTTTTATTAATTTTGATTTTATTATTTTCGATATCGTCTTTCAGCTATTAAAGGTAACAGTAAGTCATGTTTACGATAAACATACAAAGGGAAAGAATGGGATTAGAATTGTCTATAATAGAACGAGACTTTTCCAAAAGACATGAAGGCGCGACTCAACCATGTCGTCATTTACCCGGCCACCGTTTTAGATAGAACCCTGCGGTGGCTCATAATCTGAATTAATCAACAATAATTTTCGTATTTTTTACTTAGCAATGAAAAGTTACTCCATTCTTTTTGGACATCTGTCCTGGAATGTTTCCCACACCACTTCACTGCGCATGAAGGCATTTTAGATGCATTATAATTGCATAAAAGTAATAAAAATTTGCATTAATTTAGCGTGCACACAGGTCTAGCACTTGGACAACACTAAAATGGTTAATAGTACCATAGCCTAATATGCATAGGCGACAAAATACTAATAGTTTTCGAGCGTAGGGGGATTGTACGCGCAGCCAAGTGGTTATATAGTCTTTGCTATAACCAATCGAATTGACAGACGATCTTAGAGTCCACTTGGTGCTAAATGGCTACTGCAGCCCATGGACAACAGAAAAACTAAAAAGGCTGCATGTACGTTGTCACCAAAGACATTTAAATAGTAGTAATAGATAGGACATTAGCAACAAAATGGTCACTGGATGTGATTTCGGTTTATCATCGTAAGTTAAATGTATATTTACCCAATACTTTTTAAATTTTATCATTTTTAGTAGATTGTTCTAGAATATTTATTATTATTGTAATAAGCGCCCTCTGTTATACAGTAGCGTCAGTATTTATTTAACAAATGAGTTAGTGATTGACGACGTTTATCGATTGGTGTTATTGATAAAAAAATATTATACAGGATACCGATTTATTCATCTACAACGTTTAAGGAGGTGAAACAGTCAACGATATTGTATGTCGGGTACGCGTGCGTGTGTGAGTGTGTGTGTGTTAAGATGGAATTCCTATTATTGTTACCTACACTTTTTTAAAGGCCGGTAACGCATATGCAATCTCATCTATCTTCTGGTGCTGCGGTTGTTCATGGAAGCTGGTAGTCACTTACCATCAGGTGAATCGCATGCTCGCTTGCCCACTCTTATATAAAAAAAAAACCTAACCAGACGGATTCCTAGGCAGTAAGGCGTCATACCACCTAGTATTATACCGTACGACTATACAAATATCGTCTTCCGATGACTGATTAGCCTTCAGAAGCGGCATCAATGTTGTGTCAGAGATACGAATAGATACGAAGTTAGTAACATGAGTGAGTGAAACTTGGTACTTATAGATTAAATTGCATTGATCTACAATCCCTACTAAGTAGACACACATTCGAAATAATATATAAATACTTCACATAAAATACTCAATGATATCTATTGAACGGCAATTCAATTTCAATAAAAGCAATCTAAAAAGTAGGGCAGATAATCGAGGACGCATATTTTCGTAAAATGGGTATATTTACATAATTATAGCCAAATTGTATTATAAAATATTATATTGTGCAGTGTAACAGTTTTTTTTATAATATTATGATCAATAAGATATATTTTACAATATGAATAAAATTATATGTACTTAATAAATTTTAACATAGGTATAAAAATAATAAGTATTTTATGTTAATGTCTAGATTTTGCACACATAATATTATGTACTAAGCTGCACTAAAAGTATCGGGAATGGAATATTTCCAATGTTCCTGTCATATTAAAATCTTTTTAATTGAAAACTCCTTGGTTTTAAAAATCGAATACCATTTATTTATTTATATAAAAAAGATTCTCGGTCTTGTCACAAGGTTTTGTCAAACTTGTTTAGTCGTTGAGAAAATGGAATTGACTCGAGAGAATTCAAGAGCGATGATTTATTATGACTTTCGAAGTGGTTTAACACAAAAACAGTGTGTTGACCGGATGATTTCTGCATTTGGTGATGAAGCCCCATCCAAAACCACAATTTATTGCTGGTTTGCTGAATTTCAACGTGAACGTGTCAAGCTCAGTGATGATCCCCGTCAAGGTCGACCAAAAACTGCAGTCGCCCAAGAAAACGTTGATGTTGTGCGTAAGCTGATTGAGGAAGATCGACATGTGACATACCGCGAAATTCAGGCAACTTTAGACATTGGCATGAGTCAAATACGAATAATCTTGCATGAACAATTAGGTGTTTTAAAAATTGTTTTCCCGATGGATACCGCATTCGCTCTGTGAAGAGCAAAAAGCGGCTCGCATTACCTGGTGCGTCAGAACTCTCGAAAGATTCCACGCAGGATCCTCAAATGCTGTATACAACATCGTATCTGGTGACGAATCCTGGATATACGCGTACGAACCCGAAACAAAAAACCAGTCATGAGTTTGGGTGTTCGAAAATGAGTTAAAGCCAACAAAAATTGTTCGTTCACGGAGTGTTGCAAAAAAAAAATGGTGGCCACGTTTGTCTCCAAAACCGGCCATGTTACGGCTATTCCTCTTGAGGGACAAAGAACGGTTAATGCAGAATGGTATGCTAGCATTTGTTTGCCACAGGTCGTTTCTGAACTCCGTAAAGAGAACTGCGACCGCCGCATCATCCTCCATCACGACAATGCGAGTTCTCACACCGCACACAGAACAAAAGAGTTTTTAGAGCAAGAAAACATAGAATTATTAGACCATCCGCCGTACAGCCCCGACCTAAGCCCTAATGATTTCTATAGTTTCCCTAAAATAAAGAATAAATTGCGTGGACAGAGATTTTCATCACCTGAAGAAGCTGTGGACGCCTACAAAACGGCCAATTTGGAGACCCCAACTTCCGAATGGAATGGTTGCTTCAATGATTGGTTCCATCGTATGGAAAAATGTGTCAAATTTCGCGGAGAATACTTCGAAAAGCAATAAATACATTTTTAAATAGTAATGTTGTGTCACTTCCTTGATTCCCGAAATTTTCAGTGCCGCCCTTGTAAGTAGATGATATAAACGTAAATGAATTTGACAATGTTTGTTTTTACTTTTCTTTTTAATAGTTACGTAACGGAATCAATCTTATAGATTTATAGGTAAGGTCGAGTCTTGTAATTGCAACTATATGGTTATTGCAACTAATTTAAATAACTCCATCTATCATCACTATTTCGAACAACGACAGGCGTAATATTGTTCTTCTATCCTAAGTTCCAATGAAAAGATTAAGATGGTGCTGATAGCTATCGAACTGTGTAAATGACATGACTTTTTGTCAAAGTGCCATTTTGTTCGGAGTGACGCGGCGTAAACGCGGAGCGCAATAGTTATTTAAATCTGTGTTTTTGTGGTTTTTGGTAGGTTTCTTTTTAAAGGAAGTGATTATCTACTACGGTAAGTTGTTTTTTATGTATTTGTTTCATTCCACGATAAATCTAGCCCAACTTATGGGTTCAGTTACATTTACCAGACTAAAAATCAAAAGTCAGGTTATTGCAACTATTTTTAATTTTTTAGGTTAGTTGCATTTATCTGCCGCTTTTATATGGAGTATGATAATGCTAGTGACGCCACAGTGAAAATAACTACTGCGATAAAAATATTTTATCGAAAGATACTATTCATAGTAAGCAGTAGTTGGATAGTTCGTTTATATATTTGAAACTATTGGCGCTAGTGTCGCTCTTTGAGTCAAATATTAAAATTCTGATTCACTAGGTAGTAGTGCATAATAAATGATTTATTTTCAGTTTATCTCAGTATTTGATAAGTGGAATCCTGGCATTTAGGTCACCTTATTTTATTTGATGTACAGACGCCAGCAGGTCATGCTACCCAAAACTGTAAATTTTTCCCAATGAATCTTGAAGCTAATGCTCTAGAAGGAAAGTCGAAAATCTATTAAAGAAATCTGACAGATTGTAGTAGCTTGATGTGCTGGCGTCTGTACTACTGTACTACCAAACAATATCGTTTTACCTCTATGACCTGTTTTCTAGTTTTTGAGTATCTTTTTTTTTATTTTGTAGATGCCAAAATATAAACGAATAAAAGAGACGAAGTATTCATTAGCTGATCTAATAGAAGCTGTCGAAAACGTACGACAAAAAAAAATTAATAGCTACCAAGCCTCTGTAAAATACGGAATACCAAGGTCAACCATTATTCACCGTTTATACGGGACACGCGGTGCCAAACAGCCAACACCTGGCAGACCTACTGAATTGTCAAAAGAGTGGGAAACTAAAGTAGCTTCTAATCTCCATGTGATGGAAAAATGCGGGTATCCATTAACCTCAAAGGAAGTAAAAATATTGATATCTGATTATATTCGAAGGAACGGAATCGTTACGAGATTTAAAGATAACTATCCCGGGAAGGAATGGTTTAGAGGATTTAAAAAACGAAACAAATTAAGTTTGAAAAAGCCGCAGTCTGTAGAAATAGCTCGAAAAAAAGCATGTGATCCTTTCATAGTTAACGATTATTTCGATATGTTACAACGAACAATACAAGAGTGTGGTTTAGCCGACAAACCGCAATGTATATATAGTTTGGATGAAACCAGCTTTTGTAGTGACCCCAACAAAACTAAAGTTGTGGGTCTGATGGGGTTTCCCTCTACTAGAACGACAGGCTCTCCTGGGAGGAATAACACCACTGTGCTCTTAGCTACGAATGCACTTGGCAAAAAGATCCCACCCTTAATAATATTTCAAGGGAAACATCTGTGGAGCGAGTGGCTGTTCAAAAATGATAACATTCATACAGCTTACGCTGTCAGTAAAAAGGGGTGGATGGAGACCACCATTTTCGAACAATACATCAAAGCCGTTTTTTTGCCAGCTATCGGACCAGAACGACCAGTCTTATTGGTCTATGACGGTCATAAGACACATATAGATTTGAATGTCATAGACCTTCTAGTTGCCGAAAACATTACGGTTCTTAAACTGCCGGCTCACTCATCCCACATACTGCAGCCATTAGACTGTAGTACAATGAAACCTATGAAAGACAAATGGGACAGCGAACTTGTGAAATGGCAAAGACTCCATGTGGGAGCAAAACTCCCAAAACAAGAATTTGCCAGAATCATAACTAATATATGGGATGATTTAAATCCTGCTATCATTCAAAATGGCTTCAGGAAAGCGGGCATATGCCCTTTAAACAAAGATGCAATCCCAAAAGGAAAATTCGACAGTCTGGCATGGTCAAGATGGGAAGAACAACAGCAGCAAAAAAACAAGCTTCATAATGATACTGACCACAATGGTGAAGAAAATGTTGAAGGAAGTCACACCAAGAAAGATAACGGTCAGAAAGAACATAAAGTACCAACACTAATAAGTGTATGCCTTAAAACAATTAACAGTGAGATACAACGATTGCCAGACGAAATTGATAAGGCTATTGCAAACATTACACGGGATATGAAGAAAAAGCTACCGACAGAAAATGGTACAAAGGCTGATATGAACACGTACTCAGGTACTCGGGTTACGTTTCAAAAGTGGGAGACTGTAAAGGACCCTAAAACTTTCATACTTTCACGTCCTAATAATGCCAATACCAATGCCAACAATTATTCTTGTAAAGTAAAAATATTGGATAATGTAGTAGTCAGCTCAACAATAAATAAAAGCAAAGAAGAAGAACGAGTTTCATTCGAAGAGCTACTATTAAAAACTATTTCACGTAACGACATACCTAAAACTTCAAAGAAACGGATAAGTCAAGGAAGTGAAATACTAACTTACAAAGATGCACTTCATCGTCTGAAAAATGAGAAAGAAAAAAAGGAAAAAGCAGAAGAAACTAAACGGCTAAAAAAACTGGAAAGAGCAAGTTATAATGAGAACAAAAAACCACTGATAAATAAGCCCAAAGCAAAGAAAAATAAAAGGAAAAAGACCTTAGACTCAGACAGTGAGAGTGATTGTTCATATACTTCAATGAATTCTTCAGAAGATGAAGAACCTGAAGTTTTTTTTTCAAAATATTTTGGAAGAAAGCATTGATGAAGATTTGCAGGAGCCATTACCATTATCTACTAGACAAGGACAAGAAGAAAATAGACCTAAAATAAAAAGTGAAAGATTGAATAAAGGGCAGAAAAAAACATTAAGGCGGAATGAAGTAAGTGATTCAGGGTAGTTATTAATATTATTAAGTGATATAGGTACACGCGGGGCATAAGATCGTGGGAAATCTATGTTCTATGTTAATAAAATAAGTACAAATTTTCAGAAGGCGGGTAGTTTATATGAACATTCTACTGTTTTGGAAGAAAGGTTTGACGAAGATTTTGATGATCCGTTACCATCTACTTCTAAAAGACAAAAACAAAAGACACCTAAAATAAAAAGCGAAAGAGTGAAGGAAAGAAAGACTTACGCTGCCAAGAAGAAAATATTTACACAAAAAGAAGTAAGTACACATTATCATAAACTTTCTAATTTATAATATTAGTACAGGAAGGATAACAATTTGATTTTATTTTCAGAATAAAATGCCACAGCCACAAGCATCTGAGGTAAAAAAAAAAGATCTCGACGTGGGTGACTTCATTTTGGCTCGATTTTGGTCGACTAAAGGCAAAAGGACGTATAAATACGTTTGTCTTATTGAGGATATTAACCAAGAAAAAATTGTGGTCAAAGGACTCAAATCTAAAAAAGATAATAGAGAATTTAAGTTCGTTGAAAACGACATTTCCATAATTGATATAGAGGATGTGATTTCATATTTGCCCAACGCCGTGTTAAATAAACAAAAAGATACAGTCATATTTCCTTTTAAAGTAGAGGTATTTGAATGTAAATGATTTCCTATTTCATTTTACTACTTTTTTAATATGCAAATATTTGAGATAGTATTTAAAAATGTCTATGAGATAAGACTATTTTTTTTTGCAAAGATAAGTAAAAATGGCTGTTTGATAACTAAAAGATTACCTATTGTAATTACACCTTAGAAGTATTTTAAATTACTTCAATTTAAATAATTATTAATGTACGATGTCGTCCTTTGATTAAGCTCAATACAAACATCGATAAAACTGTATTCCTGACTTTTAATTTTGTTTCCATGCCAGTCGATAAAACCACAACAAGGTTCTCAACACTATTTGTAGGTAAATAGTTGCAATTACCGGACCCATGTCTAAAAAGTGATTTTGAGCAAAATTTAACGTTATTAATAGGGCATAGATATAAAAATATTGTGAAATGTTGAACAAGGTATATTTTTTCAATATAACGGTAGCAGTACCCACAGAAAAAAAGTAAAAAAAGTAATTAGTTGCAATTACCCGCCAGGGCGGGTAATTGCAACTATTTGTACCTGTGTCAGAAATTTATTTAATAGATTTTTTTTATTTACAGCTTTCCTTTACTTATGACGATGATATAAATCTACATAAAATTTACTTAATACCGAATCTTTAAAACAATGTATTTTGCTTATGAATATAGAATTATCAACCGGAGACGTAAGGCCTCCAATATTTTTAGTTGCAATTACAAGACTCGACCTTATATATTTTGGACAAATGTTTTTACTAAAAAACAAAGTTATTGCTTTCATAAATATAATTTCCTTTCACGACTTTGTAAATTGTGGTTTATGCGAGTTTCGAAACGCTTTAACAGTAGTATTTAGTTGTTTATTACTTGGACTAATTACATAAAATGGAGGTTACTGCTATATGCTCATAATATGTACAATACCATTATTTCGAGACGTTTATTTTAAAATCGCGTTACTGTGGTGATGGTTGTATGTAAAATACTACTACTATATATCAGTGATTAAATATCAGTCGTAAGTTAAAGTTTCGACTGATGATATATATTTTGCGAAAGTTCATAACGTTAAAGGTATGAAAATTAATTAGCTACGATCGGTAAAAAAAATTACCGTGTGGTGGCGGTGTAAGAATATCCACTGTTCCCTATAATCCTGTGGGTGTCGTAAGAGGCGACAGAGGGAAACAAATCGGGAGATGGACGACTGATAACGACGCTTGCCAAGCGTAGTGTGGCAAATGTCCCTCCTTTAAACATGGTAGAGCCATGCTGCAGCAGTTGTAGCACGAATGGGTCGGCTTGACCGGAAAGGACCACGCTCAAATTTTATGTCTATTTTTTTTAAATTTTTTGATGTGCCAAAAACACAGTTTGTGGATCAATTTGTGGGGTTAGTTCGTGAAACTGGATCGTTGTTGTTTATATAAAATAACCTGTGTATGTACTCGTCCAGTGTGCTCATCAGAAAACATCGCTACTGTTGCTTAGAGTGTGCGTGAACAACCACCAACACCGACTCGTCATCGTTCTCAAGAATTGAAAATTTCACACACTTATTTGAGATGTATTTTGCAAAAAGATCTCTGTATGAATGCGTACAAAGTTCGATTAGTGCAAGTGCTGAAGCCGTATAACCGTTCGATGCGTTTTCGTTTTGCTCAACGGGCCGAAGACCGCTTGATCTAAGATGAGCATTTTTACCGAAAAATCATCTTTTCAGATGAAGCGCATTTCCATCTCGGAGGATATGTCAATAAGCAAAATTGTCGTATCTGGGGCTCAGGAAATCCACACGTCATCGTGGAGAAATTAATGAATCTGCAACGAGTGACTGTCTGGTGCGGATTTTGGTCTGGCGGCATTAATGGGCCATTTTTCTTCGAAAAAGCAAGGAAACGCAGTTACAGTGAGTCGTTAGAGTAGCGATCCGTTAAGGACAAGTGTTACGCTAACCATCCAGAGACGACTGACGACTTGAAATGTAAAATGAAGTTGCCATTGACAAAATAGAGGCCCAACCGTAGACTTATACTACTGCGTATGGACCAGGTCATTGAACAAACAAAATTGTATTGACTCCTTGGAGCGAAAATGTTTATGGAGTACCAACGTGAGCACCAACGTGTGCTGTGCATCCGTGCAATGTTTCCACTTTTAGATATTTGGCACTATTTTAGGGTAAATCTATTAATATGGGTAGGGGGCTTTAGGCGTTTCTTCAAGTTGACAGGGTTTGGGATAATTTGGGGTAAAATCAAACTTTAGGTAACCCTGTTTTTTATACCCACTCAGTGTATTTTTTTAAAGATTTATTGAAGGGGATAGACTTAAAAGAGCTAGAAAAGTTTAGAATGAAAAAGTTTTTCATTCTGTATATCGGAATCATTTTACTTAGTTACATATTCGTTATTCATATCGAGAGAAAGTGTTATCATAGTTTGAAAATGAGAACGTGTTTTTCATCACAAAACTCAAGACTTTTAATCGTGAAATAATATTTAAATGTCTCAATGAACAATTTCGAACACCGTATCGCCCATCTCGATCGGCGATACGGTGATCGAGATTGGCGATCCAGCCGGAAATAGTTGGAACGGCGTCCTAGGACCTCAAAACATGGAGATCTAATGAAAACTCGTATTCTTAAAATCTGTAACTTCCTACTTTTGAAAATTATTAACTTTCAAATCATGAAGTTAATAAAAAAAACATGTGTCATACGCGAGTAGAAGTGACACCTTCTAATTAAATTAAATATAAAATAAAAATATTTCACGGCAATTGATTTATTTTATGTGATCATTTTCACCCACAAGTGCGGCATAAAATCTTAGATAAAAGTTTAATTGTATAGCAAATAAATGTTAAAATCCTTATTTCTAGAATTTATTTTAGTATAATAAATCAAAATAATATTTTCTTTCGAGTAAAATTCCTTTGTAATAAGTAAATAGCTCTGCTTCATTCTATAAGAAAAGTTATTTATGGTTCATAAAAGATAGCTTGATCTCTGCGACAGCTGTCAGTAAAAATCACGCCTATGAAGTCCTGAATTTCTTAGTAGTACAGACAGTACCTGTCAATGTCATACTTTATGGGCATGCCGACCTAATTAGTGCATAGACAGCTGTCGCAGAAATCAAGCTATCTTTTATGAACTATAATCGAACAAAAATTGATAGACTCTCTAGGTGGTACGTAAAATAAACGCTAGATGGCCTGAAGTTATGAAATCGTGGAGTAGTATAAATGAATTTGTAAATGAAGATAATTTTATTCAATATGGTTTTATTTATTTATTTAATAAATTTGTTAAATAATACACATAAAATTTTTATATAAAAACACAGTAGTCTAATGGCAGATTCGAACCCACAACCTTTTGAGTTTGCGGTCTACAATCTTATTATCTCGTAGGCTAAATCCTATGGATGTATAATTAATTATGTTTATCTCTTTTTAGTGTCGTTTTTTTTGTTTCATGGAGTTTCGAATCACAACGATTCTAAAGAAGTATTCACGTCAAAAATTTATTAATTTTTCATACAGTTTAACAGTTAACATTTACACTAAACATCTTTAAAACACCACATAAAGGGAGACCGAGACAGCAGGAAACACTTTTTTTATTTTAAATACTAGCAACGCTATTCACATTACTAATATTTCCTTTAACTACTAACTGGTAAGCGGAAAATGCTTGTAATTAGGATTGCTTCAAGACAACTACTTAGGCTACTGTTGCTTACTACACTGTGTTCTATCTCATTCTCTCGCCGGCTAAAACCTATATAAGTAATATGTTTTTTTCGTTTCGAGTTTTAAATCACGGTTCTAAAGAAGGTTTCACTTCAATAAACTTCTATGGAGAAGGATTACGTTCAGCTGTGGACTTTTATAGATTGTAATGGATGGATGAGTGTGTTATGTATACGTAAAAGATAAATTATATACAGTTCTTAAGTTAGTACTGTAAAAAAAAACTAGTTTTTATACATGGTAGAGCCATGCTGCAGTTATATCAGTAGTATAGTTGTAACACGAATGAGTCGGCTCGACCGGGGAAGTACCACGCTCTGACAGCATACCAGCGTGAAATAGTAGCTTAATGCTGCTGTGTTTTGTATGGTGAGTGTAGAGAACCGGAGACCCTTCTTACTGGAAACGAGGCATCCATCTTAGTCCCCACGTGTTGTGACAACGCATCTGTATTTCGATTTGTAATCGAGGATAGATGTAGATGTCTATGGGCCGCAGCAACCACTTACCATCAGGTGGACTGTGTGCTCGTTTGTCACCCTATCTTATAATTCTATAAAAAAAAAGTTAACTAGAGATGCTAGGATTCGTTTTCTGACTTGCAGTCTATCTGGATAGTGGTCATTCCTGTGCTAACAGTGTGATTGAAGCGAGTGAACTGAGTCAGTTTTAATTACATTTAATTTTAGGCCTCATGGGTGAAAAACCATCGTGGTTATCGTTGATCATAGATGATTATCAGCTACAATGGACTTTAGTTACCACAACTCATCAATTACTGTCACTATAACTTTTTTTGTAAGTCTGTCTCTTGCGAACTCTTGATAATATAACAACAATACATAGATTTATTTCAGAGATGTATTCAGTTAATGGATGGCTTCTAATACAAACAAACCGAATTCAAAAGTAATAGACTGGTGCGAATGGCTACTTAAGATTACTTTTAAAAAGAACATACTTAATACGATGTTATACAATAACACTTTTTACTTATTTATTTATTTAAAGTATAATATAATTTTAGTAACACGCTATGAGACATTCAATATTTGTCCTCAGAGGTGCAGAAGTGCACAATGCATGGACTGCAGTAACCACTTTGTCATTTTAAGTTTTATAAAAAAAGTGAACATGTTTAAAAATTTTATAATTTCATAATTCAATTCCATCCACCAATATCTATATTATGTATAAGTCACCACATACCTGTGACGAAGAATACTACATGTTTATTAACGTAGTTTGGCGAATCAACATGTGTTTGCCAACATGCATTAGAGCAGCGCGGCGGACATTTCCTTGCCCTAAAACCCTCTTAAAAATGAGGGGAGACTTGGGCCCAGCAGTGGGACGTATATAGGCTATAACGTTAACTAACTTTGTAGGCAAAATGCCGAAAATGTCTTTTTATTACCAATAAGATCTAGTAAAAAAAACTGCCGCGACTGATGCGAATCCCGTATCTGTACGACGAAAAAAATCACTTACGTTGTTGAAAGCGCCTGTTTTTCTACTTTTCTTCATAAGATTAATTGTTATGTATAGGCCAAAATTAAGAAAGACTTCAGTTTTTGCTGTACATACTTACATCTTGCTGGTTTGTGATTTTTGAGATCAGTTTATTTACTGATGGTTTATTTAGGTGTGTATTACTTAAAGCAATTTATCGGGTTTTCACTTAAAACACTAATTTTTTTACCTAGTAACTTGTTTACTTTTCCATACTTATTTTGTTGATTGTATTACTATATATATATATATATATATACACAATATGTAACGTAATTAACGCACACACTCAGACACCCCAATTATAGTATATTATGTTATAATCACAATACATACACTGATTTTTAGTTTTTATGCACTGATTATCAAATTAGTTATACTAATTCCGGAAGAATGTTTTGGTGATAGTACAAATCCACGAATGCAAAGACTTTAACGCTCTTGAAATAAAGTTCATTTTTCTTTATTTTTATTGAATGACAGAATTAGTAATAAAACAAATAAAATTGCACTCTTAAAAGTCTATTATATTATATTGCCTTAAGTTACGGTCCATTTCAGTTTGTTTTGACTGTACAGATTTAGTGTGACTGTAATTTACGTAGTTTTAATTATTTTTAGGATAAAAAATTACTTATATTAAAAATGATAGGAATCGATTCAGTAAACGATTCTGAAGAAACTACTTTCTCAAAGTGCGTTAATTATGTTACATGTTGTATATATATATGTATATATTTTTGGTGATGTTAGTATCGGTTCGGTTTAGTTCTATTCTTTATTTTTATTTCTTCATGGACGATAGTAGTCTCTTACCATCATGTCCGCCGCATGCTTGTTTGCCCACTTTTATATTAAAAAAAAAAACAACAATACGTAAGTACATTAAATTTTCTTAATAAACTAAGACGCCGAAATTAATATATTTTTTTTTCTTTTGGACTTGAGTTTTAAATTATACTCATGGCTTTCTTTTGAAAGGCAAAAATATAGATATTGTTAATTGTTATATTTTAAAGATCACAGGATTTATCTTCGATACAAATTTGAAGGTTATAGCAGAACCTGGACCAACCAGACAGACATTCGAGCCCAGAATCTTCAATGTTCTTCATCTATCCATCCACAAGACTTACAAAAGTCCACAGCTGTACATAGGCAGTCCCATAGGTTACCTTTTAGGAAAGATTTTGGTTTTGATTTAGTTAACAGGTGGTTAGCATCCACATTATTTTAATTATTTTGAGTAGTTATCAGGAAGATGCTGCTTCAGTTCCTTCTATTGCCATTACGAAACCCATGAGATGATATGGGGTAGTCGATATTCTTACAGCACCATTACACTTGTTCTTGTTGTTGTTAAATTGTAGTGAATATTTTTCAGTTGTTGATATTATATTACAAACGTTACGTAAGGTAACAGCTTGGATAATTTTATTGGCTGACCAGAACGAGTCCATAGTAACTAACCAGAACTAGTCTCTCAGGAGTGAGAGGATCTAAGAGGTTTACGAGACGGGAAAAACTGTCTATTTGTTCCTTTACGAATTGGTGGACTTCATGTTATTTATACAATCTCAAAATATTTTTTTCTACTTTAGACAAGATGAGAGCCATGAATGTACACGGTAAATACATGAATGTTTGTGTTCTCTTCTATAAAAAGAAATTAACATTAAAATTGCCAGCGTGGGTTGAAATCGGGTTTCCCGAGTACCACTTACCTACTATGGAATTTGTGTATGATTTTCCATATGCATTTACTAGTTATGTAACAGTTTTTATTTTATTTTATTTCGTTTATAGAAAAGGTAACGTCTTGAATAATAATTAAAGTTATTTAAAAATATTTTTAAGAAGAAGAAAATGCCGACTTCAGTGACCTAAAAAAAAAATTACATTGTAAAGTTGGTGCTAAATAAAAGAAGTATTAATTAATGCGCGGATTTCACATTGTGAAAATATTTTAACGATTTTAATTCATTAAAGTCGGCTTTTAATTTTTAATATTTTAAGTGGTTTTTAGTATTATTATAAATATATCAAGTGGCCTAAGGAATATTACAATCTCAGTATCGTTTTAATAATTAAAAACTAAAAAATTTCGTCCCCTTGTCACCCTTATAGGTGATTTTTTTGTTTAAGTTTATATGTGACCACTCCTGGAGAATAACCTATTTAATTAAGGAAGAATTATTAAAATCAGTTCAAAGCCATTTACGAGAAATCGGTGAACATATAATAAAATCAAACAAGTCCAATATAGAACCTTCTCGTTTTCGGAACTCAGTTAAAAAGTCTTATTCGACATTTAATAAAACGGATTTCGAATTGCCACCGCTGAAAGAATTTTTATTTCGGTTTTCTATTTATTATTTTATATCACATTCTACACACATTAATTAATAATTATGTACATAAACGACTATTTCTAAAGTACAAATCAAAGACATTTAAGTATGTATTAGTAACTATATATTTAAATCTCTTTGGTACAAATATAATTCAACCTACAATAGACGACGTAGTGCAAAACGACAATGTCATAATGTCATAAATCTTAATACATACTGTACATACTGTATACCTGCCAAACTAAATATAACCTTGATATATATATACAGTAATCTATGACCGTGACTGATACAGCGGTCGAAGAAGTAAAGACCATGAGTTTTCTAGGAGTCTAAATAGATTCACATCTTAACTGGAAGGCACATATTGCAAAAATAAATAAAAAGATATCCAGTGCACGTTACGCATTGTTAATCCTGGTAGAGATTACAAAATATATGTAAGTTTCATTAGAAATGCCTATTTTGGAATCGTTTATACTTATTATGTAACTTACGGTATCATATACTGGGGAAACTCAAGAGATATATAATCCACATTCATTCCCCAGAAAAAATGTCTTAGAACAATATACTCGTATAACATACATAGTATCGAATCATTGAGAGATATTTTCAGAACAAAAGATTTCCTAACACTTTCCTTTGGAATCTTTATCCTGGAATAATGTCTATTTGTAAAAAACGATATGAAATATTTTAATTTGAAATAAACATTATAAATATGATATAAACTTACCTATTATTAAAAATATGATTTATTATATAATAGTACCTGTATTACTGCTATTCGTGTATACAAACAGTTACCACCAGCTATTAAACAATTAAATGCACGTTCAAAACAGATTGAAGGAAATTGTTAATTTAAAATGTCCTCTACAATCTCAAGGAGTTTTTTTTTTAGTAAAATTAATGTTAGTAAGTAGGAAATTTTAAATTTATTTTCGTTCTTATTGCATATGCGACATGGATAGACTGTAGAGCCTAAAACTATATGTTTTTGTACTAAGATCATATTGTACACAGTTACGCAATAAATGTATATTTATCTTTATCTAATCTTGTGAGTTGGTTCATGAATGCTTTGTGCTTGTAAGTATATTATTTTAGGAAACACGAGTACTTTTGTGATAAACGAAAAAGTATTTTTTTTGAATTATTAACATTAATGTTATATATATATATATATATATATATATATATATATATATATATATAGTAGACCTTCGATAATCCGGCCCCTGGCTAATCCGCACCCCCTTGTAATCCGACATACCTTAAATGAATCCGTTATGGGTGGGGGGTGTTCTTCGCGAATATGTGGAACGTTTGCATTTATTTCAGGCCATTGTCTCAGTTTAAGTGTGACTATGGGGTTGCAGCCTAACGGACATCCATCATTTACTTAATTTCACATGACTTTTTTTTTATTGTTTAATATTTGATATGTAATTTGTCGGATAACAAGGTACTCTTTTTCAAAAAGTTCTGGACTAGCAGGGGGCTGTGGCAGTACTCTATAGTCCGACAAATTTGATAATCCGACACCGCCTTGCAAAACGTTTGTCGGATTACCGCGGATCTACTGTATATATATATATGGTAATTTTATACTATCGCGGCGGAAAATCTAAAAATCATTTGTTCCGATGATTTTCATCATTTTTATGCGGATTTATGGAAAAAAAACATGGAAAATATCTCACCTGAAGATTTCATATAGTTTTGTGACTTTAATGTGATCATAAACGTACTTCTTCGAATATAATCGTTTATAACTTTTTTGCAAAGCATTAAACGATATTTTCATATTTTTTGTTAATCTACACAAAAAAACGAACATTTTAAAAATTTAAAAATGTTTGTTTATTAATTTTTTAACATATGGTTTTCTGGCTTTAAATGTTATCACAAAAAGTTAATATTTTGGTGTTTTATTGAGTGTAAGATCGAAAGAAGCGAGCTCGGGACTTAGGGCATCCAGACTCGAACAGGTCAGGTTAGGAGATGGCGGGGTCTATTCGCTCGCGATCATACACTCAATAAAACAATAAAATAAAAAATTAATAAACAAACACTTTTCAATGTTTTTTTAAATGTTGTTTTTTGTGTAAATTATGAAAAAAATATAACAATTTCATTCGATTATTTGTAAAAAAGTTATCAACAATTATACGTGAATAAGTGCATTTTCATGAATATTTAAAGCCCTGAAACCAATATAAGTTTTAATTTTTTTACTCCTGTAATTTTTTTCGTAAATCCGTCCTAAAATCGAAGATTTAAAAAAATCATCGAAATTGCATGATTTTTTAGAGCTAAAAAACGAGGAGACCGCGATAGTATAAAATTAACCAAAGATAGAATATGTAAATATTGTTACTTTGAAACAAAAACTCACAAAAACTTTACGAAAGAAAGTACATATATTTTATCACGAGATTATCAAATGTGCAATTGGTTTGTAACTTAATATTAATTTTAATTTATTACTTTAACCTCTATTGTAGGTCTTAAGGTGAGAGTTGCAATGGTCGGATAAGCCTCATGGCTTTCTCTAGCAGTCAACCTAAGGAGAAATAGAAAAATAAAAGCTCTCAGGTGTAAAAAAGCTTTTAAATAACTAATATATATTATGTAAGTAAACACAAAATAATGTGTACCTATATAAACCTGTATACCGACATACATTTATATATGATATTTAAAATAAGTATATTATTATGTAATATATGCATACATACATAAAATGCACATAATATATATATATATATATATATATATAAACAAAGAAAGAAATAAAAAAATAAAAATAAAAGGTCAGTTGTTGTAGGTACAAATTTAGTTTTCTTTCTTATGCATATCTTAATATTTTTGATACATGTAATAACCATTTAATATTTTTTATAGAATAAGGGTGGCAAACAAGCACATATTCCACCCGATGGTAAGTGGATACTGTGGCCCATAAATTTATCTATGATTAAGAATTAATATGCAAATACGTTGTCGTTTTTGACTATCCATTAGTTACCATTGTCACCTGTAAGGACTAAGATGGAATGCCTCGTATCCAGTAAAAAGGGTCTCCGGATCTCTAAACTCACCATACGAAACACAGCAGCATTAATCAGCTATTTTATGCTAGTATTCTGCGAGAGCGTGGTCCTTCCCCGGTCAAGACGACACATTAGTGCTATAACCATAATATAGCTGCAAACAAGTGTAAACGGTTTATTATAAATATGATATTATAATTTTCGATATTTAAATAGAATGATATTGCCACCAAAACATAAAATTTTGAGTACTAAACGTACAGACTTTTATAACCTCTATTCTACTTATAATACACACCTGGGGCGCGGAATGATGCATTTGGGAGTACTGTATTTGCGTGACATGCACTACTCCACTCGAAGCATGCTGCCCGTGTATCAGAGGGATGTCAAATTCTTCGTCCCCGAAAGATGGCGTGTGAAAGGTCTGAAACAACGACGTGATAGAATTAGGTTATTCGCGTTTCATAAATAACGCATAGCTTCATCTCATTCCGTGGCTTAAGGCCACTCAGGAAAATGGCTGTAAGATTTAGTAGGCTCAAAAGTTATTTGAGAGGGTTTTAGGCAAGGAGGCAAGGAATTGTCCGCTGTACTGCCCAAATGCACGTTGGCGAACTTCATATGTCTTCGAAATATTTTTTCTTATTTCTCCGACATGCAGGTTTCCTCATGACGTTCCTCGCTTCACCACCGAGCACGTGGTAAATTAGCACTTAAAATTGTAACTTACAATTTCATTGGTGCTGGCGGGGATCGAACCCGGTTTGCTCGTATACTGTGAAATTTACAACGAGTGCTAACCATTTGAGCTACCATGGCTCAGTAAGTAGGCTCCAATTAAAACTTATTAGATCATAACACCATTATCAGCGCGATAAGTGCATGACATCTGGTATTGCGATCGCAAATCCAATGGATAAGCTCGGCGAATACAGGACTTTTAGCTGGCTAATAAGGAGTAGGTATATAAGTACTTACGAGAGCTTTTTCAGTAATTTATTGATGAATCGTGGGATTATCTCATTTATTTCAGATCAATGATTTATTGGCAATATAAACGTAATGAATTGTAATATAATATTAATTTTTTTATTAAAAACTAGCGATAAGAACCGGATTCACCTGGTACGAGTATTAATGTGGCGTTATTCAGATTTAAAAGCAATATTTATAGATAATTAAATTATATTTTAAGTGTAAATATTAATATTTGTATACTAAATTATATATTATTATGAACTAAGTTACATATTTACGATATACATATATTTATTTTTATTTAAATAACTGAAGAAAGTTGGTATGAGAAAATTATAAACCTACCTAAACCTAAAGAATTCAACGAAATGGTAATAAAAAGCTCTCACTGTAATTGTACCATTGTTGTTTTGCTCTATTGTCATTTGTCGTATTATTAGTCAACGAAAATATTTTCTTATAACTAACGATACGTTATGAAATAGAAAAGTTTTATAATTTTTAAATACTTTTATTGCATTTGCACAGGCGTATTGATGATTAAATTACTTGTATTTTTTCGGATTGGGTGACAAACGAGCACACAGTCCACTTGAAGCTAAGTGGATGCTGTGGTCCATAGACATCTACATTTATTCTCAACTAAGAAACAAAATGCAAATGCGTTGTCAGCCCTGAGGACTAAAATAGAATGCCTTATTTCCAGTAAAAAGGGTTTCCGGTTCTCTACACTCATCATACGTAACAAAGCAGGATTAAGCTGCTATTTTACGCTGGTATTCTGTGAGAGCGCGGTCCTACTTCGGTCGAACCGACCCATTTGTGTTACAATCATAACATAGCTGCACCTTAAGCTTAAATGCATAACGCTGTATTTTTTTTAAATAGTGTAACAAACGGGTAACAAGTTCATGTGGTAATAAACGGTAGTCCATTGCCTGCTAGTTGGTAGAACTACTTTCCTGCCTAAGATTTCGTTTAAGTTCTCACCTATTTCTGTGGCCAAATAGTAGTTTCTTATATAGAATTAGGGTGACAAACGAGCACACAGTCCACCTGGTGGTAACTGGATGCTGTGGCACATAGACATCGACATTTAACCTCGATTAAGAATCAAAATGCAGACGCGTTGTCACCCTTGAGGACTAAGATGGAATGCCGCGATTCCAGTAAAAGGGGTCTCCGGTTCTCTACTCACCTTCTTAACACAATACGAAACACAGCAACATTAAGCTGCTATTTTACCATGGTATTCTGTGAGAGCGTGGTCCTTCTCCGGTCGGACACAACAAGCTACAACCTTAATATAGCTGCAGCGTGGCTCTACCACGTTAAAAAGTGTGCATTAATGCCTGCATTTCTGTGTTCCGCTCTGAAGGTATACCGCTAGTGAGAGTCAGTATAATTACATACTGTGAGGCATTACATCTTAGTTTTTGCAGTGACAATGCATCAGTAAATATCTTTGATTGAAGTCGCTCGTAGGTGTCCAGTGGCCACTAATCATCAAGTGCGCTGTACGTTTGTGTGCCAATTAAGTTTTATATGAAAAAAAAAAACGGAACTCGTACTATTGTTTGCCAGCATAGAGCTTAGTATCAAGCGAGATTTTCCTAGACAAAAGTTATTGAAAGCAAGTTACCATTATACAAATATTGTAGCTCATGAAGCATTCGGACGGCAACGCATCTGCAATTCCCCTGATGTTGCAGTTGTTTATGGACGGCGGCAGTCACTTACCATCAGGTGAGCCGCATGCGCATTTGTTCTCTCTTATATTTAAAAAAAAAACTCAGTGTGTGTCCTTTGTTAGGATATGTAATTTCAAACAGAGATAGAGTTATTTTGGTCCTTGGTTTCATTTCCACTTAATTAGGAGTTTGAGGTTAACAATTGGAAATTTCTAATGCACTTTTCTTTGATAGTTAATAAAGCGTCTCACAGAAACAATACTTTCCCTAAATAATATTAGTTATGTTACATCTGTATTATGTAAACGAAAAGATAGAACTAAGTACCGTAAATGATAATAATTCAAAGTATTTAAATAATAAAATCAGCTTTGTAATTTTGATTAATTCTGATCTTGAGATATATTTTGTTTTATTAAAATTGTTGTATATATATAACGGGTGAAAAACGAGCACACAGTCCATCTGATGTTCAGTGGAGGCCGTAGTCCATAGACACCAACATAATATTATGTCCTCGTTTACGTATCAACATGCCGATGCGTTGTCCCTCCCTTCATGCTAAGAATGATTCGTTATCAGTGAAATGGGTCTCAAATTTTTATCACTTGGCATACTATCATTTGCTCTTTTTGAAAGTCCTTTTTAAAAAATACTTTTAAATAATATTTATATTAAATTTAATTAATTAAGAAACAGACATCGTGAAAAAGACTTTTAAACGAGATTAGGTAAAGTGCATCTGAAAAGCTTTAAAATGCTGGCAATGCCTTACAGAAAAGGTGTATTTTGCTGCTATTTCATGCTGGTATTCCGTGAGAGCATAGAGTTGAAGCATGACTCTACCACGTGGAGATTTATATTAATGCTTGACATAAATTTGAAGAACTGCAAATAGCAATAGCTACATTTAGTCCATTTTATTAATTTGTAATTAAGATACTGCATTTCAAATGAAAGTTTATCGGTTTCTAGAGTATGAAAATACACAAAATAATGCCTAAGTGTTAAATAATGTTTAATTTTTTGCAGATGTTTTATCTCTCATTTTAACTTTTCTACTTTAAGGAATATACGTAGTTTGGTTTATTCATTTCTAATCTAATTAATATGATCTACAACTAATATTTCAGAAAGAAATATTAATCTTTAAATCTTCCTAACAAAATACACTTCCCTCGCTACGAAATCTGTCAAATATTTCACTTAAGTATGTAGCGCTAACCAGATGGCAGAAAAATTCGTAGTTGCCCCTATTGTAACTTTTATCAGGCAAAACGTTTGCACCTTCGGCGCTGCTTATCGTTGTCGTTACATTTTATCACCTCTTTTTGTTTATCAACTCGTAAAGGTCCTCAAAGCCGTGAAAGCTTAGGGGCTTAGCGCTCGCTGTAAATTTCACAGTAGGCAAGCGACTCGGGTTTGATCCCCGCCGGCACCGATGAAATCGTCAATTGCAATTTTAAGTGCTGATTAACCACGTGCTCGGCGGTGAAGGAAACTGTCGTGAGTAGACCTGTTTGTGTGAGAAATGAAAAAAAAAACACTCACTGGGCCGTCACGATGGACACTTACTTAAAACCCTCTCAGAAGTGAGAGGAAGCCTGTACCCAGCAGTGGGACGTATATAGGCTGTAACTTTGGCTTTAAATTTAAATGTCCACTAATGAACCGCACCGTAACTGCCCCGTTTGTCGCTCGCAGCACCGACGTCGATCTGACTATTTTACGTCTGGCGTAAACGAGATAGTTATTGTGCCACTGCCATCTACAGGAAGAGAAAATAGAAGGTGTTTGTGGGATTTCCCGTAGATGCTTGTCAAGACACCTGTGTGAGAAAATGGGTTGATGCATTCTCCAGGAATTTCACCTGGAAGCCCATATGGTACTGGTACTTACTATGTAAACTTTTCCCTTTCTTTTAAGATTAGTTACATTAAATAAATACTGGACTTAATGCAAGATGCAAGCATAGTGAAATTAAAAAAATAAAATTTAATTAATAATACAAAAATTAATTTTACGCTGTTATTATTTTATCTAGCTATCGTCTCAAATTTCGTAGTACTCAAGCAAACCGAATTCGATCCCGGAGCAAATCTAATAGTTCATTAGGCAAATAAAAGTGCTGATTTAACAGGTGCTTGGTGGTAAAGGTTAGAAAAGTGATACAAAGACTTCCAGTCTGCCACCCAACCCGTAATGGGTCAGTGCGACGAACTTTTCCAGCTCCGAAACTCTCTTAGATATAGGAGATTTGACCAGCGGTGGTTGTACGTGCATAGTATGTTAATATGTAGATAGGTGTACTTAAATTTCTTCATGTCGTTATGTTATGCTCTCTAGTTCTCCAGTGCAATCTTGTAGTGTCTTTCAGCAGTAACATTGCTTACACGTATCCCCAGATTTATTTTGTGTATTATCTTGGTAGTATCTTTCGTTACACAGGTGACAATGGGTTAATGGATCTAATACTATCATAACATTAAATATAGATAATTATCATATTTAATTTAACTTTTCAACACGACAAACATCAAACCATGTAAACATTTTTGGTACTTACCTGATCATTCATAGCGTACACGCTGGACTTTGTTTCGCGATGACCAGACATGGACGTCTCAACGTTTTCGGGTCTCTGTATAAATGAAAAATACTTATTATATATTATGTAAGTAAATAAAACCACTAAGAAATACAAGGTGCCTACAAAGTTAAATTTCAGGAAATATACAAAACTAAAAAAATACACATTATACAGTTTGTATGTAGCTACACGAGTAGAATGAAAAATATTTTAACAAAGAGAAATAATGCAAGTGTTTACAGCTTTGCGCTTGGGTAAAAACAGGCATTAATGTAACAAACGTCCTGATATAATGGTAATTACATATGGAATAATATACCAGTAAGCTGTGTGCGGACTGATAATAGAAATAAGAACATATTATTTTAAAATAATTTTGATAATTTTATGATAAGTCAGCACGAAAAGATCTATCCCGTGTAATGAACCGAATATATAATTTGTGGAAGAGATTGGAAGAAACATCAGGCGCTATATTAAAAATAAACACAACACATAAACTCTTTGATATTCGTACAATTTCATATTTTGTGATTTGGACTAATATTGTCCGCAGATTTTCAAACCTCAACCCTTACGAACAAGAATGTTGATTTCAATGATATATTAATTTATCAACTAGAAACGACCACGAATATATATATATATATATATATATATATATATATATATATATATATATATATATATATATATATATATATATATATATATCCTATCTAGTATTTTTGAAACTTTGAAAGTTACAAATTATGATTTCAGTTAAGTGCTGTTGAGAATGCCATTTAAACGCAACTCTATTGCCATTTGGATTTAGTCTTAAGAAATACGAACTGGATTGAGCGTTGGCGCAATAGATTGCACGAAGTAAATATTTGTTATTACTTACAAATTGAAGTAATTGTGAATTTCGAGTTCGATGTCTAAAATCATTTATATTTTTATAAAGTTTAAAACATATTTTTATACATACATTTGACTTTTTATAAATAAGCTTAATCAGAATATACGGTATATCAGTTTAAAAATATTTATGCTACTAGATTTGGTGCCATTTACCCCAACAGAGTGTTTTTATTATTTAATATTGGTATTAAATTTATTGCATTATCATTAAGTAACACATAGAATGCAATAATATACATACATAATAGAACGGGGGAGTGGGCGCAGCCCGTGTAGCCACTAAAATGTCACTAACACGTCAATTCACACGTATAAATGTCAACACGAGATGCGTTTTGACGTTACAATCGTTTCCAAATTTCCCATGCAATTTATTTATTTTTCCTAGAATAACATAAATACTATTATTATTAGCTTGTCACTTAAATTTTTGATATTTATCAGATTTTTTTTTAATTTAGATTTTTAGATACCTGGTACCCAATATTATTTTTTATTATTTATTTTGAACCTTTCCATTTGATCTCTTACACACAGTACACATCTAGCTGCCTTCTTTTGAGGACGTCATTAAGTTTTAAGCATAAGCATTTTACCGACGTGTAACCCACATTTCAGGTTGCTAATTGCAATGATGTGATGATTTCTTATATTTACGCGAACACTACACTTTTTTTTTGTTTGTTTTCCCTTAACGGGGGTTTGGGGTTTTGTCTTTTTTTTTTGGCACTGCATCTTGCAGAGGGACATTACACTTGACTGATGGTAAAAACTGAAGCGCGCTTCCATCAAAACATACTTCAAGCCGCTGAAGAAGATTGGTCGGTTTATATTATTTTTCAAGATACAATAGAAAGTTCATATATCGGAACAAAGGTTAAATTTTAATCTATGGTAACCGCGGTTAACTATGACATATGGACGTTGAACATCTCAGTCCCGCCCGTGACCATGAGTGCTGTAAAGCGTTCGAAACGTCGGGTATTTAAAAAGTTAAATATACGCGATAAATTACGTAAAAACTAGTATTATTTCAATGCAATGATGTGCTCGTGTTACTGAAATCGTTACCACTACTATATTGCATTACCGTGCCTGTCTATGCAATTCTGTACGTGATCCTTTCATCCCAACAATAAAGTAATGTCCTCCAGACAGAATTAGTTTGCGTAAGACAGGATTATAGTGCCTTTTTCCTTCGTTCACTCTCATAGTTCAATGGGACAATCAGAGGCTTTACGTGCACAAGTTTGGTTAATGCCAACTTTTAATTTCCCGCTAAGAAAATTGAAAATTTTCAAAAATAGGGAATTTATTGGTTTCCCCCCTATTTTCGAAAATCGAGTTTTCATCAGATAAACCTTTCATAATTTTTGAACGTCTTGATCGACTGAGATGCCGTTTGCGGCGTTTTAAAAATCTTAATGTGGAATAGATAATATGAATTGATTCGGATGAGTAGATTTTGAGAAATCTCAAAAATAAACAATTTGAAAAACTGTTTTTTAGGAATAAGTTTTAAACGGCTTTACTGTTCAACTTCAAAAACTAATCAGCTCTTAACCTCAAAAAATTACGTCGAATGTCGTTTGGAAAATAAAAATTGGTTCATTCGTTCGTGAGATATCGAAGGAGAAAGAATTTGAAAAAAAAAACGTTTTTTTTAACATAACTTCGAGATTTTGCAACATAATTTAGTAAATTTAGAGCGCTTTGAATTTGAAATTAGCGGGAAGTTCCAGGGATGGCCTGCAGGGTCAACCAATTTTTTTTTTAAATTTATCCTCGATTAAGAATCAAAATATAGATGCGTTGTCACTTGTCACACCTGAGGACTTAGTTGGAAAGCCTCGTTTCTAGTAAAAAAGGGTCTATGGTTCTCTACACCCCACCATAAAAACACAACGGCATTAAGCTGCTATTTTACGGTGGTATTCTGTGAGAGCATGAATTGTGCTTGACTATTCAAGCCCACCCATTTGTATTACAGCCATAATATAGCTGCATCGTGGTTTTACCATGGCAGTCACCCTAATATGAAAATGTCCGTTGGAAAGTATTTTTTTAAAAATGAAATATTGAACAAAATCATCAATCACATTCGCTTTGGTTAGTGTGACTAGGTTTTTTTTATAGAATAAAAGCAATAAACGAGCGCACAGTCCAGCTGGTGGTAAGTACATGATATCTACATTTATCCTCAATTAAGAATCAAAATGTAGACGCGTTTTCACCCCTGAAGACGAAGGTAGAAATTCTCATTTCCAAGTAAAAAGCGTGTTTGGTCCTCTACACTTACCATACGAAACATAGATAGATAACTCTTTATTGCATTTGAACAAAGTTATTACAATAACGGTAAACTTATGAACTACAAACGGCGGTCATAGCATACTCGTAGCATGGTATAACATAACATAGCATTATAATAATAATAATCATAAAATCAACATCATCGTAACATAGCAGCATTAAGCTGCTATTTTACGTTGGTTTTCTATGTGAATGTGGTCCTTGCTCCGTCGACGCAACGCATTCCTGCTGAAACTACGAAATAACTGCTGCACGGCTCTACCACGTTAGTGGTTATCAAAGTCCCACTGCGCCGGGCTAATTTCTTCTTTATTTTTTACTACGTATTGTCACAGCTTTTAAGGGTTCCGCTGCTTTAAAAGGAAATCTCATAAATTCATTTCGTTCGTGTGTCCTAATGTGTTACAGTATCATAACTTCAAATTTTTGACCAAATTAAATTAAAAAAAAATACGATAAAATTCTACCGATATAACGGGGTCTCATTCAAGAATATGTTACAACTGTGATATAATCCCCATTCACTATCATCCCATGGGTGTCGTAAGAGGCGATAGAGTGAAATGGAACAGTAGATGATTAGTGAACAGCATTTTCAGTAACAGACAAGTGTGGATACTATATCAAACATCCGCCTGATGGGGCAACAGGCAATCTAGGGTGAAGAACTTAACTGAGTTAATCTGAAAATAAATGATTATTATTTATTAGGGCACAGAAAGTTCAGAGGCAATTTTATTTCGAGTTTGTTTCAAGCGAGATGTTTTTTCATGGGCATATTACTATGGTAGGTCTTTTGAAATAATCCCGTAGTTCCACAAAACACTTTGAATAATTAAGCATAGTCCTAAAAAAACAAGTATTTATCTCTCTGAATTGAATTGTTATATATAATGCAACTAAATATATAATATCTATTACTGAATACTTTCGATGAAATGAAAAACATTTAACAATCCATATTTAAGAAATTTAAGGAAATCACAACAAAAAGGACACACAAGGCTGACAGGATACCTTATGCAACACCAAAAAAAGCAGCGGCCATTATCTAAAAATTAAAAGTGTTTTTTAATTAATTACTTGTTTCTCATTCAAAGAAGGAAGATATCAAAAGTAAAATTGATTACCTACCTTACTATGATAGATAAGCTAAATTAAATGTGTTTTAAACTGGTTTTTAATAATATTGTGGTACGTATATTATAGTAGATTAGCTAAAGCAATAATCAACTTTCCGTTATTCCTTTCACTACTCAACTATTTGGTTCTAGTATTTAAAATTTTTTTTCAAAGAGTCTATTGATGTCATTAACTTACAATTGACTGATGATAAAAATAAAATTAAAGTTTCATTCAAGAACATCATCAGGATCATCATCACTCTAGCGCATCACTGTCCACTGCTGATCATACGTCTCCCAGGAGAAATGCCACAAGTGGTTACATATACATATTAATAATTAAATGAAAATCTTATATATTCATTCATTCACACAGTCTATGAAAGTTCACTGCTGAACTTAGGCCTTTTAGGCGTCGTTGCCATGCTTGGCAGTCTGTTTGGCAACCGTAGTTTTATTTTCTAGTTCTAGGTTCTAGGTTTTAAGAAGACGCTGATGCCCATCTCCTGGTTTGTTTCCATCTGTCGCCTCTTACCCATTGTCGACATCTTTGGAACGACATAGGTTAGTAGAGATTATAAATTATAATTAGTACCCGGATGACCGAACTTTGCTCAGTTTGTTTTTTGAAATTACATTTAGATACAAATTACATACTGATGAATTATATTTTTTGATCTTGTTGATATTATAGAAAAAATTGAACTG